CCAGGGATTTAGCTGAGCAGCATAAGTGCCTGCCTTGCAAACACATAGTCGTGAGTTGCATCCCCAGTACCAAACAAAACAAAAAGTCAAAATATGGTCACATATCAACAGCAACATCTGAGGACTTGCTAGACACACAAATTCTCAGGTCCCACCTGAAACCTTCAGAATCAGAATCAGGTATTTGACCAAATATTGAGAGCGGCTGATCAAAAGAGAATCTTGACCCAGGAGGTAGCTACAGTTCTGAACTATAAGCTCATTAGTTTTCTGGATTTGGAGGATTTTTCCCCCCAAAAAACTGAGATAATGGTATTCTTATTGGCATGAACTAAATGACAGACTTAATAACTGGATGTTCTAATGTTGCAAGTATAGCCCATTTACTTTATAGCAAATTCTCAAGTATTAAACAGTGAACAGAACTCTCTAGATACTACAATTAATAAGTATGAAAGTCCTTTTAGGTTCTCCTTTGAATGTCTAGGACCTAACAGCCACAGTTGAAATCCATTTTAAGTTCTGTGGTATCAGTGATGTCAGACACAGCATGAGAATGTGCACAAGTAGGGGAAAGGGGCATAGGGCAAGAAAGGAAAGAAAACCAATAGGAAAAAATCAAAACCTAAACCCAGCATTGTGGGAGCATGCTGTCTTCCTAACATGTAACTCTGACTCATTTATACAATCAACAAAAATGACTCAGGTACTTATGTTCCCTTCTCCCCAGTGTCAAGCACTATAATTTCATAATTAAAGAAATTATAAAAGGGAGCAGACTGAGCAGATAAATAAAAGAGCAAATTACACCATAATTCTAACCTATAGATAATAGTGCAATTGAAATGTTTTTGCTGTTTGGCTTACTTAGCCGTTGAAATCCAAAAGAAAGGGAATAGGAAAGTCTGTCTCCACCTAAATAGTCACAATATAGCAGCAATGCAAAGCCACAATTATATGCCAATATCATCCAGCTCTGAAACTAGCAACAACTGACTCATCCTGGAAACAATGATGGGAACTACATTTTTCTAGGAAGACAAACAGTCTAAAATTTCATTCTTTCTACTTTATTTCTTGTTTTAGATTTCCAATGTTTAACAAGATCTCTTCTCATGGAAATGAGTTATTTTTAATACATTTAGCTCTGCAGTTTGAGCTATGCAAATGTCCTTACTGCTTTTAAAGAAGTTGTTTTCCAGCCTTTAACACAGAACTATAAAAGGATGATAATTCATGTACATCAATGTAGAAACTTTAACAGCTGATGGAAGAAAAAGCCTACGTATCCTTGGGTCAAATGTACAAATTAGAGTTATTGTATGACAGCCAATTTACGCATACTAGGAAGAGACAGAGTGTAACATGAAAGAATTTTAAAATAATTATTTGTTATGTTAAAAAACTGCATTATTTTACATTTTGCCAAAATGGCTTGTGTCAAAAGAAAATTGAGCTGAGATCTATATACGTGAACCATAGAAAAAAAGGCATGTAAAAATCTGTATTCTCTAAGAATCATTTCCAACACATTTCCTGGAGCTCAGGTAAACACTTAGTACCATAATAACTTTCTTAGTATGGAGACACCAAGCAGAGGACTTGATAGAAAAGTACAAAACTGAAAATGAGGGGCCAGGGATATAGCTAGGTGGCACAGCACCAGCCTAACAAGTTTGATTCCTGATACCTCCACCCACAAAAACCTGAGATCAAAAGTCCTGGGGTTTGGGGCTGGAGATTTAGCTCAGCGGCATAAGCGCCTGCCTTGCAAGTAGGCAGTCGTGAGTTCGATCCCCGGTACCGATAAAAAAGAAAAAGACCCCAAAAAAAGTCCTGAGGTTTAGGATCCTCACTGCATCCAGTGCTTCACTCACCAAAGTGAGACACTGCCATTTTCACGCCCATCGTGAAAGAACCCTAAAAGGGCAAAAACAAGTAACAAAGGGCCAAAACTGCAAAAGTCAGATATTAATGCCAGATAAGAAGCAGATGGTTAACTCCTAGATTAGTCTTTGATCACTGAAAATAAGAATTCTTCATTTAGTTCTAAGTCAACAAGACACAACAGCTATCCATCTATCCATCTATGCTCCTTACTACTAGAAAACACAAAACGTAAGGACAGAATATTGATTTGGGGGTAGCACTACAGGATTGATAGATACTATGGTATGGGAATATACTTAAATAAAGATAGTTCTCAACTTCTAATAGTTTGATTTACAATACTTCAACTTTAAACAGAAACTAATAGGAGCTACTTCAAACTTTGGTCCTTTTCCATGTTAGTGATAGGTGGTACAATATCTTGTGTCTCTGGGCAGTGACAGCAAGGTGATTGAGGCTTCTAGTCAGCTATGTGATCAGGAGGGAAAACAATGCAATGTACAGTAGATGTATTAAATACACTTTTGACCTACGATATTTCCAACTAATGATGGGATTTTGTGCCACAGGCCTATACTAAGGGAAGGAGCATCTGTTATTTAAATCCTTAGCGACTGTTTTTCAATACTGCATTAATACGTATTTTTTTCTTTTTCGAGCCAGCGTCTCCACTATGTAGTACACCCTGGCCTTGAACTCATGATCTTCCTGCCTCAGCCTCCTAAGTGCTGGGCTTATAATCATGTGCCATCACACCAAGTCGGTATTTCTTTTAAAAGGTTTTATGGTAAAGTTGCAAATGTGAGAAGAAATCATTATAGTTTTATTCTATTTAATTCTATGTCTCAAGATATATTTTTACTCAGTTATTTGCTTGTTTTATAATTTGTGATAAATGTTAGCCTCAATGCCAGTAAGCTTCCTCTTTTCCACCATGCCATTTAATTATCCCCTTTCCCACTTTCTCTACAGTACACTCTGAAATTCCAGTGCTATTTTGAGTTCATCTCACCTGTGAGTTCAAACCCATCCCACAGGGCTCACCTACCAGCTACTCACTACTTAAGAGCTTTTCTCTGTAACATTGCTTGGCCCTGTAGCTCAATTAAACAAAAGAGAGATATTAGGAGTTCAGTTTTGTGCTGTTTTTTGTTTTGACACAGGGTCTCACTGTGTAGTTAAGGTTGGCCTTCAATTCACTATGTAGCCCAGGTTACCCTCAAGCTCACAATGATCCTCCTGCCTCAACTTCCCAAGTGTAGAGATTACAAATGTGTGCTACCACATGCAGCTTACACTCCAGGATTGATGGTATCTTCACCACTCCTTAAAGCCATTTCTGGACCATTCTTGCTCTTTGCTTTTATAAAATCGCTTGCTCACTTGAGCTCAAATCGGCATCACTTTCTGCCATCTATTTCTCAACTAAATCTGGTCACTTTTGCTATCTTCATTAAGATTTTACACCGGGGGACAGGGGGTTTAGCTCAGCGGCATAAGCGCCTGCCTTGCAAGCAGGCAGTCGTGAGTTCGATCCCTGGTACCGATAAAAAGGAAAAAGACCAAAAAAAACCCAAGATTTTACACCTGTATCAGTGCTCCTTACCTCTCAAAGTCTGCCACTCAGCAGCCTGATCTCTCCATATTTTTGGCCTCATTATTCCAGAAAGATTTTCTTTCATTCTTACCATTTGTTTCACATCTTTCCTGCTAGACTAAGCTCCATGAAGATGTGGAACAGACATCCCTTATTCCTGGCTTAATTCCGAGCATACTGTATAGTGTACTTCCTAGTTAAATAAGGTGTTTTCTAATCTACACTAGACATGAAAAACAAGGGTTATTTGCAGGTCTGTGTTGCTTATAAGAGAATCAAAATGAACAGTGAAGTGACTTAGAAATCATAAAAGCATCACAGGATGTCTCACCCAGAGAGAGCATTTACTGGATGATGAACAAATAAGGGAAACTAATAGCTATCTTAAAATATAGAAATTATTGTAGATATTGTTTATCTACAAATTAAAGGAGTTAGATCTTTTGGGTTCTAGATCTATTCTATTTCATTTTGGTCTCACTGTGATTTAAAATATAAGAAACAGTCCAGTAAGGGTGTGTAAAAAGGCAACCTGAACTGAGGATGTAGCTCAGTGGTAGAGCACTTTCCTAGCACATAACAGGCTAGGTTCAAGCCCCAACCCTGAGGGGAAATATGGGAGGAAGACAAGGAGGCAATTTGAGCCTGTGGACCAGGAACTGTCATGATGTGAGTCAAGTTACTTGGGGAAACAGCTTACTCTTAAGAATGTAAGATTGCCAGGCATGGTGACACACACCTGAGACCCCAGAACTTTGGGAGGCTGAGGCAGGAGGATTACAAGTGCTCAAGGTATCTGAGCTACATAGTAGGGTGGAGGATGTATGAGGTCTTGAGTTTGATTCCCCTCCATCCTCCAAAAAAGAATGAGCTAAGAATGAGTTAAGTTCAAGACAAACCTGACCTGGGACCCTACTCAAGAAACAATGAAAAATCTTTAAAAAAAAAACTACAGACCTAACAGAGCTTCAGTTTTAGTGTATGTGCCACGGAAGCAAGCACACTAACAGAGCTTCATAATGGGTAGATTACATCAGGATTCGGCAAACCATGACATCTGGGACAGCTGCGATTTGTATAGAAACAGTTTTACTGGAAGGCGGCCATACCCCTTCAGCTCAATTATTATCTATGGCTGCTTTCCTGCTACTATGGCACAGTTCAATAGTTATGAAAGGCAACATATGACCCATAAAGCCTCAAATATTATAATCTTGCACCTTAGGAAAAATTTTGCTGATCCTGTCCTAAATGTGATCAGTAAGCTTCAATTTACATTCTTATACACTGGCAATGAATGCAGGCTCAGTAAAATGCTCTTAAATGATAAAACATAATGATTAAAATAGGGAATGAGAGAATAAAGATCACACATATGATTTCAATTGATTCCCAGTGATTACACGACTTCCGACTCCTCACTGAGTTAGTGGATGGCTCACCTTTTAGTCATTGAAAACTTCTATTCCAAGAATACCAAAGATAAAATAAGCAGTAGAGACTTAACACTTACCTGCCTTCCTTAACTTTTTCTGCATTCCCTCGACATACGTAGTACTCAATGTAACCATCACTGCAGTTGACTTTAGACCAATCTGGGTCACAAACACTCAAGAAGTGGGGCCGCAGTCTGCCTATTGAATACTTGGCAATGTCAGTTAGGGATTGACTAGCAGCTGCACCAAATAAAAAGGTTCCAATAGATTTGTAAATAGTGGCTATGTAGTTATTCCTGATAAAGGAATTTGAGTGCAAGAGGTTACAGTAAACAGACAGGGTTTCTCCAATAATCATCTGAAAAAGAAACAAAAATAGTATGTTAAATTAGCAAGCAGACACTTTAAACAATACAGGGAAAATGATAAATTACAGTAAGATCTTGGTTTTAAAAATAGCCACAGCCACCCCCAGCCCCCACCCCACCACCCCTCAACAAATGGAGTCAACTTTGGATATCCAATCCTAAACTATACACAAAAAAGTGTCAGGTCAACTTTGGACACTGCTTCTTAAGTAATGGCTTACCCAAAACCATTTCATAGTCTACCTAAAACAAGGCCTTGTTTTCTTGTATTCAACTAAACTGGGATTTTAATAATTAAACAGTAATGTATCTTGGAGAACAAAACCATAGCTTATTCAAAGAATTCAAATTTCCTCTATCAGAATCTCCCTTACTTTTATCTGACAGCCCTTATTATTTCTCAAATATCCCTTTGGACCAAAGATGTCCATATTAAAAAGAGTAAAACAAGTTTTAGGGGGTAAAACATCTAATATAAGAGCAGGAATCTAAGACTGCTGCGCACAGGTACACTGAGTTTACAAGCTTTACCTTCCAGAACTTCAGAGGCCAAATCCTGGAGCTTTACTAAAGGACCAAGCATGTTTGATACTTTTCTCTTCCCTAAGGAAACATTTTAAGTGATTCTTCCCTCACTTACACTGACTTTTGTAAAATGGAGTTAAAAGTCATCATGTGAACTTCCCATTTTAGTAATACCTATATTATATATCTGTGAGTGAGCGCATGAGTATAAAAGGGATGTAAAGGCAAAAAAACATCTCCAAGTGCTTTATACTTCACAAGTCAGCATCCTGAGAAATTCAAGTAATACTTAATGGCAACATTATAATAACAATTGTTGCTTAAATAAGATACACTCTAGTTAAGTGAAACCTAAACACTTAGGGAAAAGACAGCTTGCCAATTAGGGAGAGGTTATAAGTAACAGGATTTCACTTGAGATACCCATCAGCTTCCCTGCTTGTCTTAAATTTGTATAAGTGTTTTATAAAGCATTCAAATATTTCCAATTAGTGGGTAGTAACTGTCTTCAACGTTAGCCTTAGCATAGATGAAATAAATGGTTGCCTCCTAAAAGAGATTTCAAGAACCTGATGGTACCAGGCATGGTGGGACACACCTGTAATCCCAGCAGTCCAGAGGCTGGCTGAGGCAGGAGAATCCCTGCCAGCTCTAGGCCAGCCTGGGCTATACAGTGAATTCTTGGACTAGTGAAGCTTTGTCTTAAGAACCCGACAGCAAGAGTTCTTTCTTCTTCAGGCTCAATGGCTTATAGAATTCCACAATTACAATGTTATAACTTCAATGAAGACTTAACTCTACAAAACAGTGATTTCTTAATTACTGAATAGAAGGCTAGTATTGCTAAAATGATCTAAAGCAGTAGATGGTCAGTGAATTTTAATTGAAGACACTGCCTCTTGGATAAAAATGGAAAATTCATTAAACAAATTAAACTACACAGACATGTACTCATTATTGTCCTTAATGTGAATGAACTGAACAGACCCTTTTCTGAGAACAAATCACAGGAAAGGAAAACTATGGTTACTTGTAGGAATGTAAAATTTTCAATTTTGCTTAGGGTTATCCTAGACTGCCTCCAGCTATACTCTTATAGCTATACTACTATACAATGTAAAGTACACATTGCCTCTGTGGGCCATTTAAGGGTCCCAGTAATTATCAATAAAATGACTGCCATAATTAATTTCTCAAAGACTTCCTTATGGACTTGATCTTGGACCATTGAAAACATACCAAATACGATTCAACCACAATGTTAGCAGTTAAAATTTCCATATCTCAGCTGTTAGCTGTTTTGTTTGTTTGTTTGTTTTTTCTTTTTCCTTTTTATCAGTACCAGGGATCAAACTCACAACTGCCTGCTTGCAAGGCAGGCGCTTATGCCGCTGAGCTAAATCTCCAGCCCCTTAGCTGTTTTTCTTAGGCAATCAACTAGTTTCCAAATTTTGTGTGAGTCTTCCTAGACATAATCACCAGTCTTTAGAGCTACCTGTTCTTACCACTGATAAAGAAAATTAGTTTGCTAGGAACTACACACAGATGACATGCTGATATACAGAAGTAATATATGCTGAAACTTAACTTTTAATGCTAGGATAGCAAGAGCACTACAAAGCCAGCAGCTCTCAGGATAGCTGTCATCATTTTTTATTGTGTTTGTATCATATCAAATAATTATTGTGAGAAACAAGCTCTAAATCATCTTCTAGATTAAATATTGAAATATTCCTTTTGATCTACATGAAACAGCCCTACTCTTTTTATTTCATTTTAATACTTTATCCTGCCCCGTTAGCTCTTTGTATGATGAATTATTAAAGAACTAAAGACAATGTCTGAGGGAGTAAAACAATACAAAGATAAAAGTTAATAATTATCAAAGTGGTGTGATTCAACCTTCTAAACCTATGCTCTACAGTTTTCTCTATTCTTTCTATTGCCACTGATCAGGATTACAAGTCTCTATACTGCCCCATGGTTTCATTCAGGGGCCACCTTTCCAAAGGAGTAAGTAATCTAAAAACACCAGCACATTTCTACATCTTTCACTCCCTTTCAAATAATGCTAATTACCTCAATTGCTTTATTTTATGAATCTTTCTCAAAAGCCAAAGATGTATCATCAAATTGAATATATTTTTATTAACTCTTTGGTATTGGAATTCATTGATCACTTCTTCCACATTGAAATCTTCCTTTGTCTTTCAAGAAAAGTTATTAATCTTGGTTCTCTATCAGACTACTCTAATCACTAAGATAATTAGGGGTCATTTGCAATTCATATCAAAAGCCTGGTATGAAGTCTGAGTCACAACCTTTAAATGGCTTACTTTCCAATAAATAAAATAGTCATACACAACTCTAACCAAGTACTGTCTGCAAGAAGGTAGAGTTAATGAACAAACTGGAACTATTTTACTATTTTGAATTTGTACATGAAATTACTGACCTGAGCAGAGCTTGTCTTTGTCAATATTGCTGATAAGAAAACAGTACTTTCATAGCACCTTTAAATATTCTTTTAAGAAACTTATACTCATTAATTTAATCATCATTTTACTAAATGTAAAAATATCTTTCTCATGGATTATGTTGTAATATTAAAAAAGTACAAAGGTAATGAAATAGAATTCATGAGTTTGGGCTATGTGTGTGCTGTACAAGCTACACATATCCACAGGCACCCAGAAAAGGGTATTATTTGTAGTAGTCCTCCATTTTGTAGCAGATTTCTGTATTTTTGCCTGTGCAAGATCCTTTTTAAACCATACAGGAGGCTGAGGCAGGAGGATCATGAGTTCTAGGCCAGCTTGGGCTACAAAATGAGATCCTGTTTCTAAAAACAAACACCACAAATTCCTAACAGAAGAGTGGAACTGAAAGACAACTGTATTTCTAGCACTGCTTACTTAAATACTGTCCTTGAATCTTGCCTGAAACCAGCTACTATTTGCCACTAAGAGAGCTAGTTAAAAATTATATATTGAAATAGTTCACAAGCTTTCAGAAATACGTATACGAAAGAAAGAAAGAAAGAAAGAAAGAAAGAAAGAAAGAAAGAAAGAAAGAAAGGCCACTGAGCATGGTGATTCATTCATGTAATCCTACAACCCAGCTAGGATCCAGCTCCTGAGGTGGCAGGAGGACTGCTTGAGCCCACAAGCTCGTGACCAAACTATGGAGGCTAGTAAGACCCATGGGGGAGGGGGTGTCAACTTGAACCCCAGTATTACAAAAAACAAAAACCTCATGTTAAACATTTGAGTAGGCTAAAGGAATCCCTGATTTCTTAAAGCTTCACAATGCTGTAAAAGAGTCACTAATGTTACTTTATAATTACTTCACAGTTTCACTCATGTGACCACAGTTACATGCAAACACCTAGGATATTCCAGGCTCTGCTACACCATGCAATCAAAACATGGTACCATACCTTTGCCTTCAAGAAGTTCATGGTCTTACCAAACAGACATTTATATAATGAAGCTTTTTTTTACTAGTTGTACATCACAAAATATGAGTTAACTTTCACTGCTAATAAGATGTGATAATAATCATTAAGACATTATATTTCTAAATTAAGATTTTTAAAAAATAATAAACTCCCAAAACAGACAAGGTACATACGCTGTCATCTTGTTGAACTTTCTCAAGGATAGAGACATATTTTCTACATGTTAGTAATTTAATTATATCTAGTTTCTAAAGCTGTAAGCTATGGAGCACAATATTCTTTAAGTCACAGAATTTCTGAGTAAAAATGATTATAAAAATCATCTATTTTAGCAGGACAAGGTGGCACATGCCTGTAATTCCAGCACATGGGAGGCTGAGACAGGAAGATTGCCACCAGTTCAAGGCCAACCAGGGCTACATAGCAAGACTCTGTCAAAAAAATAAAGTCATACAGTTTAACCCTAGAAGTCTTCTCCCTGGAATTGAATTCCCTAAGCATCTCCACCTGAAACTGTAGAAAACAACAGTTACAATTCTCTCAATCTTGCCTTCAGTAGCAATAAAATTTCTTTCATGTTCAACACCATGCTTTTATAGAATTGCATCTTTCCTCTCCCATTAATGACATCACCTAAAAATTCTAAAGTAAACATGTATTGAAGTCTTCATATTAGCTAGAGACTTTCTTTTCTACAACTCTGACAAACTCAGTAGCTAAGTACACACAGATACAATAAGCTACAAGATAATACTGCTGAATAAAGTACTATGGAAACACAGTGCTATAATATTTAATAATCACCCAATTACTGAAACAATAGCAAATCAGAGCTTTAATAACCACAATGACATGAAACAGATTAAGGTAAGATCTACACATATCCACAACTGTGTTTTTTTGGCCTCACTTAAAATAGCTGAGATTATCTTGATTAAATAAACCTTCAATTCAAGGCTTGTAAAAAACCAGATGTTTTGGAAGGTTATACATTTAATAACAGACTAATACAAAAGTATGCCAACTGCTCAAAAGTTAGAAACTTCAAAAAGTGGACTTAACTTACAACGACAATACTGAATGGAATCATTATTCCACCTAATAACGCATAAGGTATGGTGTCTTCTTTGTAAGGGTACTTGATGGACTCATCATTACAGAATATTCCTCGTTGGAAGGGGGTATGCCTTGAAGTAAGAATTGCAAAAGGCAATCCAGCTATTAAAAGGGAATAAATAAAAATATCATTAAAAATTATCAAAACTGGTTAATGGCAATAATAATCTGAGACTTTAAAAATGCATTTGGCATGTAAATAAATAAGAGCACATGTAAAAAGGAAATGCAGCAATGCATGCAACAGAAATTAGAAGGGTTACAAGTTTAGGATAAAGTGTTTTTTCAAGAGGAAACAAAGGCTTCCAAATCCTCCATTAACCAAATTAACATAAAGGATCTCCGTCCTTGTTTCTGCTAAATAGACTAAATTGATTTGGGGAAAGTCATTTTCAGATCCCAACTGTCACTTAATGACCAGGGTTTCAACACTTTCCACACCAATTTGTCCTGCACTTTACTTCCTTAAGGCAAATACTGTTCTGACATCTCCATCATATCCATATATCACTACCACATTTGAACAGGTCATGATCACAGTGAAACTTATCAGAGCATCTAAGAACAGCTTTATCTACTAATGTTTGTACTGTCAGAGCAGGTTTAGAGCTGCTGAAGGAGTCTGAACTCAAATCAAGTTTCTTAAGTAAATACAGACAACAAAAGCCAATATAAAACCACCTAACAGAGAGCTCTGTTTTTATCATCAGGGTTTTCAGTAAAGGTCACATCTCACACTCACCTCTTGAAATGCATAGCTTTTGCCTACACATTAAGGCTTACAAATTCAGTTCTCCTTTACTTCACCAAACCTGGCCCACTGATTATATTATAGCATACTGACTAGTCCTGATTTGTTCTGAAAAACAGTTTAGCAGAAACCCCTCAATACGAAGTCCTAAGTGAGGCACACTGCAGTGTACCATAACCAAGTTAACATACTTTTTTTTTTTAATTTTTTTTAAATTTTATTTAAGGAGAAAAGAAAAAAAAAGCAGAGAAAGGGTACAAGTTATACAGATTTACAGAAAAAAAAATGAACAGTAGGAAATCACTAGTTAATGGATTACATATTGTCATCTTAGAAATAATTGTTCAAGTCACAAAATTAAAGCTTGTAAAGGTGGACATTCCAACAATGATACTGCAAACAGATCCAATAAAACTCTGTGATATCATTTTCTATCTCATACACTTAAATATACATGCAGTTATATAGTTTAGAGCACTTTCTTTTCCTCTCTTTTGTACAATGACTATTACACATTTTGGGTTTCATTGCTCCCACGGTTCTTATTACTTTTTTGGAAGAGAGTAAAACCAAATGAGACATAACAGAACAGAATCGGTCAAGTCAAAAGGGTGGACATAATAGATAATGTAAAAACATAATACAAGGTGATCAACAATGGTTACCATAATGCCTCCCGCTATCTCTAATAGAACTGCCTATATCATCAGTTATAATACAATTGAACTAAACAGTAAAGAATAAAACCGACAAAACCAAAACATTGGAGACATTGTAGGTCTTCAAAAGTAGATAAAAGTCAACGAGAATGGGCGTTATAATGAATCTCATTATCTTCACAGCTGATGCCTAAACTTTCGAACCTGATACTATCCAGCAAAACAGAATAGGGGAACATCAGTTAAAAACCAGATGGTGAGTTCGATCCCCGGTACCGGTAAAAAGGAAAAAGACAAAAAAAAAAAAATCCAACTTTGAAAACCAGATGGTGAGAGTAATACAGGGCTTTAAATCGAGATAATGGAAAGTCAAAGTGGGTTACTATAATATATCCTGCTATTTTTTACCTTTAATTAAAAGGATAAAAATAAAAAAGTAAATAATGGAGTGGAGATTGAGATAAAAGAGGGCATAACAGCAAAACAGCACAGATCAAAACATAACCATTTAAGCAGAATAGTGTTTCACCACCAGATATCCTGACCTAAAAGTAGTTACCATATTGTCTCTTTCCTTGAAATCCTTGAGTACAACTTCGTATACTGTAGCATTAAGTATATCAAAACAATGTAAAACCATTTAAGAGAATGACAGCATTACAGAGTATTTAGAATCGACTAACAGAAAATGAACAATGGTTTCTGTATAATCTCCTGGTCTTTAAAAGGTTTTTGCTTATACTATCGCACATAATAAAATCCAATAAGATACAACCTATTTAGACCATTGAAGACAGAAGAACAAAAGCTAGATGAGACTTCAAAACAAGATGATACTAAATCAGTATTACCTATTAAGATGTCATTTTCTCCAAAATAGCTGTTCCTATCATCCAATCTTCTCTGCCTCATTTCTGTTGAGCTCTTTTTCTGTCAGTAGCTGTCAGTTTGTCTTCTTCATTTTGTTCTCTGCTCCATTCGTTGTGGCCTCCCCGCCACTATTTCTGGATTCTTTGTATTTTTCTTTTTTTAGAATATCCTGCAATACTCTCTGTAGAGTTGAATTGGTGGTTGCAAATTCCCCCAGTCCCTCTTTATCCTGGAAGCACCTTGTTTTTCCATCAATTTCCAGGGACAGTTGTGCAGGATATCTCAATCTTGGCTGGAGATTATTATCCTTCAAAGCTTGAATTATTTCCCCCCACGCTCTTCATGATTTGATGGTTTGTGCAGAGAAATCTGCTGTAATTCTGATGGGTGTTCCCTTGTAAGTGGTCTGTTTCTTGTCTCTGACAGCTTTTAATATTCTGTTCTTGTATTGAATTTCTGGAATTTTTATTATTATATGCCTGGGTGTTGCTCTGTTTGGGTTGTAGGTAGCTGGGGTCCTATATGCCTCATACATCTGAGTATCTTTACCTTTTGCTAAATTAGGAAAATTCTCCTGGATTATTTCTGTGTGTAGCTTTTGTAGTTCACTTGTTTGTGTCCCTACTTCTTCTTTTATGTTCTTAATCCTTAAGTTATGGATCCTCTTATCATCTTCTTGTCTTTGTATTATTGCTGTTTGTTTCTTTGTTATTTTTAAGAAGTTTTTCATTTCATTCTCCCATATTACAAGTCTGCCCTCCAGTTCAGATAGTCTGTCCTTAGTTTCTTTCAAGCTGTTATGCCAGTCTTCGATAGACTTCTTAGTTTCTTGGTAGTCCCTTTGAACCTGCTTCACGTATTCTATGCTTTCTCTGTTTTCTCCATCTAACAATTCTCCCCTCTTTTTCGTTCTTCCAGTCCACCATCTGTTTTTTCTTGGGTGGTGCTTAGCATTTCTCTAACTATTCTGCATACTTCTAGCTTCAGGTCGTTGATAACTTCATTCCTGAATTGGTCTATGAGGCTCTCTATATGGCGCTTTATGTCTATTGGTGCGGTGTCCGCTATTGCCTGTTTCTCAGAATTGGGGGCCGAGGAGCCTTTCTTGTTGCTGCCTCTTCCCATATTCTCTGTTCCTTATATATGCAAGCTTATATAGAAGACCCAGCTTCTCTCCCTGTCAGCCACAGCCTTATCGAATTGCGCTGGTTAGGTGTTCCTGCCCACCACAGCGCACCAGGGAGTTACGGACCAGGCAGCCTACGCGGGGGTCGCCCCTCCCGGCCACCGTCAGGCTCTGGGATCTGGGTTGGGCCAGCCTACCGGGTCCGCCAGCAGCGTCACGCAGGCCAGGCACTTTTCACCAATCCCGCCCGAGAGGGGGATGTGTGGCTGGAGTCGCCACCGCGCCCTGCTCCCACAGGACTACCCGGGCCCAGAAAGTCCTCCACTGGAGTCAAACTGTGGTAGAGTGTCAGTTTCTCTCACTCACCTCACCACAAGTCAGTGCACACCTCCCTACCCGTCCTGTTTTCGACTCCGTTCGCAGACTCCCGTTCCCAGAGCTTCTGCGCGTCTCTCTCCTTGCCGAGCCACTGTAGAGGCAGCCAGCCGCCGCACGGCGGGAAACCCAAATCGCGGCTTCCAATGGCACGGGGTCCAGCCTCCACACCGAGGCTTTTCTGTTCCTGTTTTAGCACCAGGACTGCATTCCAAGTTGGTTTCTCTCAGCCCAGATTGTTCCTGAGTCAGCAGAGCATATCTCCACCTGCTTATTTCTCCTTAGTCCGCACCATTCCTGGCTTCTGAGCCGAGTCTTTCAGAGAGCCTCTGGTAGTTGCTGTTATCTGTCCGCCATGTTCTCCTGGAACCTCCAAGTTAACATACTTACTGCAGGTTTAAGTGCTATCTCAAGAAGCAACAAGATTTGATGACTAGTTATAGATTTCATTAATTCCACTAAGGCCCTAAAAGCTGAATAACAACTCAGCCTCAGCCACTCTACCTGAGTGCATATATCACAAATATGATGTATGTCCAATCTACAAAAGCCAAAAAGAGAACATGAAATATTTCTTTTATTGCTAGCTGTTATTTATCTTTTTCAGTTAGATTGAATACATGAACCAAAGTTTATTTCTTTATGTTAGCCAAGTTGCTAACAGCTGTCAGTCTTTTCAAGGCTCCCAAAGCCATTAATTCTATTAAATGCTACACACACACAGCCCTAGAATTAACACTGAGCTTTATTACTATGTAACTGTCAATCTGAATTTGCACTCTCCTTTTTTCACCAAATTGCTTGCACCCAGAGAAGTGGAGTAAAATATCCAAATCCTCAATACATGTAACTTATAACTGCAGCAAAATTTCAAAAGATCTGTACAAACTTTTGGCACTTATTGGCTTACACTGTAGAGGTAAACACATAAAACTATAATTTTAGTTGCTGCCTGATCTACACAGTAACTAATCATTTAATCTTCAACTAACAACCACATTGCTCAAGTAATAACCATACTTTCCAAACTAAAAAAAATGTATATTTACAAAGAACCACTCACTTTTTCTGTAATTCATTTTATTTGTAAGAACTCTACACAACATAATGGGAAATTTTACTGTCTTACATAGTTTATTTCTGAACTGGTTGCATTTTGCAATAAGCATCTCTTCCTTTTGGAACAAGGTATTTAACATAGAAATTAGATTCACAAACATAATTAGCATCCAAAACTCAGGCTTTTATCTCTAGTCTAAAGAAAATGTATATTAGTAGCCCAAATATACTGAAAAATATTAATATAAATGCCCATTAGTAC